CTGACAGATGTAGAGGTGCTGGCTGAGCCCAACGCCTGCGGGGAGTGTGGATGGTTGGCCGCGGCTGCGCCTCTGCCAACGTGGCTGTTTTCGTCCCTCTGCAACTGCGCGGTCTCGCTGGCTTCAGGGCGGGCGCGCACACCCTGAATTGCTCATTCATCCTGTGCCGCAGAGCCCCGCCCCTCATCTCTAGGGCCAGACATTTCCTCTGCACTGCTCTGACCACGTGCTTCCTGAGCTGAAAGCTGCCCGGAAATCTGGCCACCTAGTCTAAAATGGGATTATAGGGCCTGAGCCCTAGATGGATGGTCTCTCTATCCCAAACCTTCAAAGGAGGGAAATGTGACTAAGATTGCTTAGTTTGGGAAGATGCCTTCCCAATTTAGATGGGGAAAATAAGTGTAGATCAAAAGATATAGTGGTCTTGCTTAGAAAAAAGAGTATTACATTTTAATTCATTTTTAAAAGGATATTTGTAAGATTGATTCCATACATATTTTGTTCTGCTTTATAGTTGCCGCTAGATGAGTTTGATCCTGATGTTTTTTTTCCTTTTCTACAGCGTGAGTGCATCTCCATCCACGTTGGCCAGGCTGGTGTTCAGATTGGCAATGCCTGCTGGGAGCTCTACTGCCTGGAACATGGCATCCAGCCTGATGGCCAGATGCCAAGTGACAAGACCATTGGGGGAGGAGACGACTCCTTCAACACCTTTTTCAGTGAGACAGGCGCTGGCAAGCATGTGCCCAGGGCAGTGTTTGTAGACCTGGAACCTACGGTCATTGGTGAGTTGACTTCAGTAACCCAAGTGAGATCCCAAGGGTCTGGGGCAAGACATGTGTCCTGGGGCCCTGTTGATGCTGTGGAGTTGAGCAGGCTTGTACAGGTTTGTTGGTGATAGGTGGCCGCTTTGTTTCCCTTTTCCAGATGAAGTTCGCACTGGCACCTACCGCCAGCTCTTCCACCCCGAGCAGCTCATCACAGGCAAAGAAGATGCCGCCAATAACTATGCTCGCGGACACTACACCATTGGCAAGGAGATCATTGACCTTGTCTTGGACCGAATTCGGAAACTGGTGAGTACCAGTTTGAAATATATTTAAAATGGGGTGATGAAGGGTTCCCTGCAAGTTCAGTGGAGAGACCAAACTACAGCATTCATTCTTTGGTGCACGCCAAATTGTGGGATACACTGCTCCTCACTATAGTAATTGGAATCCCTAGGTTATGGAGCTATTTTGCCACTCCTTGTGCTT